TAAGTAGATGCTTATGCAGACATTTTTAAAAATTATAATAAGCATATATCTCTTGAAGTTTAATTCATTTTAAGTATCAGGTACCAGTGCATTTAAGACAGAATAAGCTTATCAGCAAAATACTACCATTTATTTAAATAAAAGGAAAATTTTTTAAAAAGCAAATACGAGTTGATCGCTTAAATTGGAAATATACTACAGGTTGTCCCATTAGTCATGTACGTTTTTGCAGAAATGATTTTGTAATTTTAAAAAGGGGGCAAAACAGTGATTTCCTGTATTCTTAGTTGTAGTTTTCCTGTGGATATATTAAAAATTTTTGGAAACCAGTCCTATTTCCTTAGTCTATCTGAATTTTGCATCTAATGCATTGGGTTGATCACTGCAATGTCACAATATTATTTTCGATTTTTATTTTCAATGTAAATTCATCAAATGAAAAACAATGAGCTTTCAAATAGCTAAGGTCACTTCTCTGTGATCTTACTGGATGACTTTGACAGGTGTTAAAACTATGATGAATGAAAATAAAGAACAATGTCACAGAACACAAGCATTCTTGATAAATGTGGATCAGACTTATAAAATGAATATCAGGCTGTCCCCAAGAAATTTGTTTCTTCATCAGTCCCCTGAAGAACATGAATCATACTCTGAAATTCTGGAGATGTGAGGCAGTCTAGTACTAGAGAAGAAACATATTGCAAAGGAGAAATCCCAAATGCTTAAAATGTTTCTAAAGTGACAGATATACAAGAGGAACTTCAGTCTATCTCTTGAATTCCATATTAAATAGCATATTCTTAATTATTTTGGGTTTTTTCCTCTCTGTTTTATTAGTAGTAACTATTAGTTCCAATATTGCTTATCATATTATATCATTTGCCTAAATCTTTGCTGAGTATGTATTTTTCTTACATGTGCCTGGGTAAATGTCAGTGGCATATAGGTTACATATTTGTTAAGGTAGGTTACGTTTTTGTTAAGGTTTATCACCTTGTATATGTGTGTGTTCTAGAGCTCAGTAATCTTTTTCCTATGTATCTGTAAAGAGATACTGATGACTTTATTACTATAGCAAAATGTGTATCAACTCCCCCTTTTTCCATGAGCCATAGATTTCCCCTCACTTCATTATTTCTAAAAACAAGAACATGCTAGTGAAGTTATAGAGCAGCATTTCCAACTTTTGTCCATTGTTTACAGCATCTGATTTTAAGGATGACCACGTTTGGCGTAAGAAATCAACATGAGCTGAATAATTGTGATTCATTTCAGAATTTTTGTCTTTTGAGGTGTTTAACTATTTTCTCAGATTTATACTGAGAAAACAGTATACTGTTCTTCCTGTCTTACAAAATTTGTCAACTATAATATGTTAGTGACTACTACAGTTACTGATCTATATAGGGAATATATGGCACGCAACAGATACAGGGATGGTCTCTAGGACATCAAGGGTAAATACTGAAAGAGAGGAAGTAGAGAAAGACAAGGATTCAAATACAGGCTATGTGACACAAAAATATCAATTATTAACAGGTGTTAATGATATTCCATTGTAGTCAACATAGTCTAGTATCAAACCTAACCAATATAGCCTAATATCAAGCAACATCTCACTCTTGAACAGAAAGTAAAATTTCTTAAACAATACCACTGCTTTAATTAAAATTACTCAAAGTTATGGGAACATTTTGTTTTTTAGTTAGAGCTTTCTTTCCTGCTTCAGCTTCTACAGTATGTGTAATTTTGAGGAACATGGTTTGAAAGTCTGGCAGGCTATCTATTTAAGATCAAATACAACAATTTTAACTCAGACAAAACTCATCGGTTAATCTCAAGTCAGAGATAGGGACACCAGTTTAGCAAAATGTTTGGCTATGTGCATGACTACTGAAGATACTACTACCTTTTTTGAGTATTTGCATTGTATATACTGCAAAATTTGGGTGACTGTAATCCTTGCAAGAAAACAAGCTTCTGTAATAATACTGATGTTATAATTTTCTTACTGAGCTATTTGGTGATCTGTTCCTATGAAACTTGAAGATACTTCCTATTTAATCTAGCTTTCCTCAGAACTATTTGTAATTACTTTCCACTGCAGCTAGGACTTCTGATGCAAATGTCATCAATCCTTGGTATGTCTGTGCTATTATCACTGTCAAAATATTCTTGTAAGTATTAAGAACAATACAGTCTATACAAATCCCTTTGGAAAATATCTTAGGGTCAAGAAACGGAAGCAGTAGGGAAAACAAACTGTCTTCTTTCTGCAGGTGTGCAGGCTTACTTGAAAACTTGATTCAGAATTCCAGCCAGTGTTTGTGCAAAGCAGTCCTAACGCTAGATGATTTTCCGTAGAATTAAAGCTGCTGTAACTGAATGCTTAGCAGAAAGGTAATGAAAACTGTTCTATATTTGACAGGGAATTATATACTGTACATAAAACAGCAGCAAAACATCAATAAACAAACCTCTTTTTCTTGCTTTTCCTAAAATTGGAAATAAAGCTAAATTGCCCCTTCACTCCAATATCCTCTTTAGAAGCTCTTGAATTTTGCTCACTCAGTGGTATTTGCTGAAAAGGCAAAGTCTCTTCCAGTAATTTTAGGAAAAGCTATCATCAAGCTGTCAACAGTCTAAATTGAGATTAAAAGAACCAAAGAGAAACCTTCACTATTATCAGAGTCCCAACTAAGTACACTTGAAAAAACAGATAACATCTAGAATGCACAGTATGAGACCACCTCTTCCTCCAGGTTTTGGAGTGACTTAAACGAACGAAGTCTTATGTTAAATAGTGACATTTTTCTCTTGTCATATCCAGAACTTCCAGGCCAAAACAGAAAACAGACAGTTGTGAATAGATACCTTTCCTTGATATTTGGCATTTATTTCAGATATCACATTGCTATGGGGTACCTATCTAATCCTCTGAGATGTTAGAAGCCCTCAGCTCATATTGGCCGTCAGAGGGAAGACCTCCAGTACTTCCTAGCCCAGAATAGAATGGACCGTATGTTAGGATTCACCAAAATCAAAGGGTTATTGACCTCAACTGAAAGACCCATGTCTGTAGCTTGCCTTACTGTGAAAAGGAGGCTTTGTAATCACTGGCGAGACAGTGGAGGCAGGATTTTCTACATTTTCTCAGATCTGATCTGTAGCTATTTCAGCAAATCTGTCTGTATTAAGATACCTATTTTGTTGTATGATGTGTTTTCCCTGATTTTTGCTGGAGACCGGAAGCAGACTAAAAATATGACCAGACACAGAAACTGAAAACTGAAAGCTGATCTCCAAAAGCATAAGATTAGTAATACTAATCCATTGAGTCACTTACCTTTTAAAATTTTAATATTTTATCATGTAAGAGTCCAATAGCTATCATAAAGGAAAGGCTTGTAGGTAAGTTACAGCCTTTAACAACATATTACCATAACTACTTTTCCTTATTGTGGATTTCTAACTGCGTATTATTCACAGGGTTAGTCTGATAATTAAATTTGATTTAATATTTAAACCTTTTCTTCTCCAAAACATTATAGCCCTATTTTTTACAGTTAAAGGCTATATTGTAGCCAATCTTCGTAAATCTGATTTTGATTTCATTTTAGTGAAAAAAAGTATATATCTTGAGGATATGATTAATTACAAAAGAAAGAAGTGAGATTGAGTTGGATTGCTTTGACTTTTGCCGCATGTGATCCAGCGTATCATTAGGTACAGCTTGCAGTAGAAGATAGCACTTATTTTCTCCAAACTCTCTTTAATAAATCATCACTGGATTCAAGAAATAATTTAACTTTTGTATTTCCTCTCTTTATTTGCTTCATCTTTTCTGTTAGAAATTATCTTTTAACTTTTTTTTTCCCAATAGGATAGGTAGTTTCAGATTCTTGAAGTGAACACTATCCTTTGAGTCTTCTCTTAAAAAAAAAAAAAAAAACTTTGTTTTGTGTATTGCAGTGGGTAGTTTGTAAACACTCTGCAAACTCAGTGCCTGAAGCTGAATGTGTCAGTATCATGATATCAGTCCATCTAATCTAAAATAAATTCTTAAAATATTGAGATGATGATAAATATTCACCAGGAAGATCCTTTGTTTTAATATCTCCTTCAAACAATGCAACATTGTTACTCTATAATTAAAAAGCAAGATGGTAAGCAGCACTTGTTGTGGCTTTATATTGCTTTTTCCCCTCAGACAAAACCTTTTTCAACTGGATGAAGTATAGTTTGATGCGGAATTAAGCTCCACAGCCTATTCTTTTTAAAGCAGAATCATAGGATCTGGACATTTTTCTTTTTTACAAGGAACGCTTTAGATTTCCTCTTTTCTCTTGTAATCTTTTGCTGTTAAGGGTTCTGAGCAAGGCTTCTTACTGCTTGCTTCCTGAACGCCTTAGACTTCTTGTGTGCGTTTTTAATGCTTTACTATTAGCAAATGTATATATTTTTCTACTTTTTTACATTAGAGGCATTATAATTTTGGGGAAAGCCTTTCATTTAGCCTGGAGGACAGTGGAAGAGTAAAATCTATTTTTTACTTTCAAAGGCAAGCATGGTAACTTTCTCAGCTACCAAGCATCCCAGCTTTCTATTTTCCATTTCCTTTTTTGCCTGCTAACTCATAGCCTTCCTTCAGGTAAATATTAAATCTGCTTCAGCAAGAGGAGCGTTTTTAACATTGCTCAAAGATTTCCTGGTAAGATGGGTCATTTTCAAAGCTGTGAGCTGTATGACTATGACGGCTGTATGACCGTATCCTAATACCATTATGTGGACTCTTTATGAGTACAAAACTTCTTTTGAGGGATTGCAGGGCAACCTTAACAAAAACAAATAAAACTCATTTTCTTTCAATATTCTTCCATGACTGATGACTCTGTATATCTGTAACCACATCATACAACTAACCTTACTGGTGCATCCTCTTTGCTTAGTCATTGACTTTCACTCACAGCATTGATAATATTTGTTTTATCACACAGGCCTCTGGTGATGCTGCCTCCATCTCTCCAGAGATGCACTATACACCTCTGCCTTTGGGATCCAGGGACCTCACCAATCACAGAGGTATAAACTAACCTTTTATTGCTGTGAACGGCTGCAAGGTAGTAAGCTTTGCTGTAAGGACTCCTCTCTCTATTAGTTATTGCTGCATTGGCACTTTGCAGAGAACACTGTGCCTTTCAAGCACTAGATGAGAAAACCATACCTGTCAAGACTACAGATTTTTAACTCATATTAAATAGGATTTAAGGGTAGTCTACTGGGAAAGCAAATAAATCTGTGGATAATAACGTTCAGTGAGATTTTGTGTGTGTGTGTGTGTGTGTGAGAAAAGTGTAGAGATTAAAGTACTTAAATATTGCTAAGCAGATGATTACATGCAGCACTGGTAATTCTGAGAGAATTTGTAAACTTTCTAATGTTTGTAAAGAGAGAGCTTTTTGCAATTTAACAATTTAGGGCTATAATTTTGAATGTTAACACATTTTCATTGCAATAAAAAGGGATTTTTCTCTATTTTTCAACATTAAAGGGGGATCAGTATTCAATTTCCTTTTGCACCAATCCTTAGAACTTAAAAAGCACCTTGGGCAAATTCTTGAATTCCTTCTGCATACCTGTGGAGCACAAAGTTCAGGAAGCAGGTGGAAAACTGGAGCAGTTGTAAAGGGAGCATTCCAAGCCCTTTCACCTTTGTTCCAAAAGGGAGAAATATTATAAAGCTTGTGGCACTCTTTGGCTTGAAAGCACAGCAGCAGTAGTCTTGTGTTTGCCATGTTGCACGTTTGATTCCTTGGGGTTTTGCTATTTCAACTGTTTTCCAAATTGATACCGTGTAAATCATTTGTGTAGAGACAGGTTTTGTATAGGATACCTGAATCGACATCAAACTTATATTTATGAACTTGTGGTAACTTGGTTTCAAAGTTATCTTAGTGTATATTCAGATACCATAACGTTATGGAAGACTGAGGTAGAATGCCTTACTACTTGAGACCTATTGCAAGAACCAGGGAGATAACGCAACTTAATAAGGATCTGCGATGCATACAGGAAAGGATGAGGAAGACAATTTTTACTTTCATTGCTTGCAGCCTTTATCACTATTGTTGTGCCATGGCTCAGATAAGTGTCAAGCTACATCCTAGTCACAGTGCAAATTGGTGTGCTGTAGTGGAAATCAGATGTCCTTGGAATGCTAGAGTGCGTTATATTCTGACATTGAGGTGATGTAGTAACTGGTAGTTTTTAAAGAGAAAGGACAGAACCAAAATCTTGGATTTGAGCATATACCTCTGTTCAGAGATTAGAATCCTCCCCCCCTACCCAACATATAGCCCCAAGCACAGCCCTCTGTTTCTCACCCCCAACCTTAAATTCCCAAAGTATGCGTTGTGGCTTCAGTTTCCAGGTAAGCATATTTGCTTTGTGATTGGAGTTCTGGTGATTGATTAAATAGCTAAGGTCTGAGATGAAAAGCAAGTAGAGTGATAGAACGTTGTAAACACCTAAATTCTATAAAAATACATACAAAAAAAGAAAAGTCAGCTGCTAGGTATCTTCAAATTTATTTATTTAGGTGAGGATGAATTAGCGGTGTGGCTTCATGGCTGACTTTGGAATCTGACTTTACCAGAGAGATATCAGTAGCCATAGGCATCAGAAATCATGTGTCTGAAATGCAGATTTACTTCTCTTGCTAGGAAGCAATTCTGTGGCTCTACGTGCCATTACGCACATGTGCCCATATGGATGTTCATTTAGAGCTGGCTCTTGCAATATCCTAAGTCCCACTGTCTTTGCTAGGATTTGAGGGTGTCTGCTCTCTTACTGTGAAAAGGGAAAATGATACTCCCCAAATTATTGACTTTTTACCCTTAGCTGTTCGTATACTTCTTCATTCTTTCTATCTTTACTCTTCCCAGAAATATTCTGCTTTGCATGCTAAACATATGCTGAAATTTTCCTTGATGATTAAGCAGTTTATAAATAATAAAATTGACCCTAAAACAGTCATTGTTAATATGCTGCAATAAGTAATATGTATTTATTCACAGGGAAATAATTAAGAAATCTTTCCAGAATTCCAGGTGTTGTGAATAAAGCTTGGAACAACCTGCTGGCAGGGTTTATTCACTCAATCAACTTCTTTTATACAAAGAAAAATCTCCAAGTTCACAAACCCATAAAAATTAATTGGAATCGATAGAAAAATCTCCAAGAAAAGAATGAAATACTTAAACATGCTATTTTAGGTTCTGAATATCTCAATTTTTTTTCTTCACTGAATGCTTTCAGTGTTGTATTGAAATGATTGAATCAGCTGTTGCATATGTAAATATTGGCAGTTTTCAGCCCAAAGTGAAAAGGAGAATGCTATAACTTTGTGAGTGCTCTTATTTGTCCCTGGAGGAACTTGTTTACCAGAACTTGAAACTCTGGCAAACAGTTTAGTGCAGCTGTAAATTGATTCTTTGGGATTAGGAGGAGGAGCAGGAGGAAGCTGAATGTGTTTGATGGGTAGAGTTACTTGGACATTTTTCACTATATTTAGCTATGATTTTTGGGGGAAGGGGAACAAAAACATATAGTTCTGCATGTGTTGCACTGTGCATTTTACAGCTTTCTAAACTCATATATGCAGTATGTTATTTTCAGATAGGATCTGGTCTTTTGGGGTTGACTACATGTTTTGTACAGACTATCTTCAGTTTTATAAATCCCTCTCTCACTTCCAAAGCCCACAGAAATGTTGCATGTCAGTGTTGCCTCAGAGTTGAAAGACAGAATAATTGCTGTAAATATTACATCAAGTGCTACAATGCTTTGAGTGGATAGGTACCTAAGGAGAGCAGTAAATATGGGATGTGCATTTCTATTCTTTAGAAAAATTTTCCCCATCTTGGGAAAGTTTATTTTCCCAGAAACTACTTATTTTCTAGTTAAATGTTTACGCAGTCCTGCTGTTCATGTTTCTTAGCAATAAATGTTTTGGCCTTGTATGTTTTAGGCACCTGATAGCAATATGACTTGGTCCTTTATGATATCTATTTAGTATCTCATTAGACAGTTCTTCCTAAGTATTAATTTTTTACCTAGCTTTATTTTTGTTTTGATTCCAAAACCACAATTTCAAACTCCTAAAGGTCTTCGCTTGGGCTATGTTAAACCAGTATTTCATATTCGATTTCATATGATTTTAGATATCAGTGAGTTACTTGTGTGATAAGGTTAACAGTTCTTTTACTCAGATAAAAGAAATCATTTTAATAAAAGACTCTCCACACATAAAACAGGCTTCATTTTTTTTCTAAATTCCATAGTTTGTATTATGCTAAATTTCAAATTTGCTAATGAAACAAATTAAAACAGGCTACACTGTTCTTTCTGCTTATTGAACCCTATCTAACTTTAAGAAATTATATAAACAAATCAAAACTGCTTACTGTTGTTTTTAATGGCCATGCTCCCAATACACAAAATTAATGTTGTAGAATATATATTTTTTGGAGACTTACTCCAAAGATTTTTTTTTTTTTGTCATTTTTAGATTTTTGTATCTGTGGCCTTGGTGCCCTTCTGTTTCTTATAATCAGTTTATTACCTGGTTACATATAAAATCTTAAAATAGAGCTTTAAAGTACTGAATGTAGTTTAAACTGATGGAAAGAGGAATTTTATAATTGTAATATGGTAATTTTAAGGATAGTTTGCTTGATGGATGTGTCAGGAAAAAAGCTACTGTTGTTCCCTCCCCTCCCAGTCATGTGGGTTGAATGTTCCTTTTTCATAATGGCACCCTTGGTAAGGAGATTCCTTTATTAGGTGTGAGCATTTAAACGCAAATTGCTTTCTAAAAAGAACAGTGTTTTCCAGTTTAGGGGGAAAATAATTATTTATCATTCCATCTCAGGAGAAGCGGAATTACTAAATCATGAATGTCATGAAAATCTATTTTTCCCATGTAAAACAAGTGCTGGAAATCCTCTGTATAAATAGATATTTTATAACATTGTCTGTTACCTGGTTTACTTGAAAGTCTATTTGCTGCCAAAGCTATTTGGCTTCCAATAACATTTTACAAATACTTTTCTTGCTATCTTGCCTCTGGGAACAAGCAATGGTAAGTCTGCCTGATACCTTACTGGTAAAAGGAAGCAGCAGCAGGTTCCATTAAAAATAAAGTTTGTACTTCTAATATAAGTAGTTTTTACAGCCTTAACTTGGAAACAGATTTTCTTGTTTTCTGAAATTGTCCAATCTGAGGTGGAAAGACACAAGCTGCATTCAAAAGCAAGGCCCAGAAATCCAGCAGCGGAGTATTTTTGAAGTTTCCCGTTGCCTCTCAGAAAGTAACTTTATAAAGCATAGCTGAACAAAGGAAAAGAGAGGTTCCTGGTGCTCTCAGTTTCTCGGAGCCCTGAAAGGGAAGTGCCGCGGGCTTGTTTTGGCAGGGAGAGCTCTCCAAGGCAAGCAGAAGCAGGTGGGCCGCGAAGCTGCTGTTGTGGCTCCCAACCATAACCTACCGGGTGGTTTTGGTGATGACTCTACTGCAGCTCTCTTCTACTCAGAGCATTTGGCGTAGCACTTTTCAGAAATGACTGGAATGACCGTACAGACTGCAGCCTGACTGATTTTCAGATATACCATATAAAATCCAGCTAGTAGCTTTGTAGGAGCTGAGGTGTGTGCTTGGCCAGGGGAGAGGTACACTTTTGAATGTAGTGTAAGCATTGGGCCATTCAGATGTGCTAGTATTTACTGTCCGATAGGTGTCAAAGGAGATCTGTTGCTTTGAAAATGTGATATTGAAGGACAATGGTGGTATTTTTAGAGAACCAGGAGGAGAAATGTATCTGATGGGATGTGTGATAGCCCCTCTCTCCTGCAGGGTTTACCTTCTCTACCTCAGTTTGCTCAGCCCCAGCCTATTCAGATTTTAGAAATAAGCATTCTTAAGTTAATGTGGGACTAGTCATATATATTGATCCTTCAAGGATTGGATCTAGAATTTTCAAATGTTATTCTAAACTTTTTGAAGTAAAATTATAAAACTGATGCAT